GCGGCACTGGAAGCGCACGGCCTGGCCCGCGGCGGCCGTGACGTGCTGCAGCCGCCGCTCGCGGATCTTGGGCTTGCGGCACACGAAGTACTCGAAGAGCACCGAGTCGGGCAGGTTGCGCAGCGCGTCGCCGCGCACCTCGGCGGGGGTGGCGCAGGCCGGCAGCCGCCCGTCGAAGTTGAGGGTCTTGCGGCGCTGCACGATCCAGAGCAGGCGACAGTCGCAGGCCAGCGGGTTCCCGTCCACGCGCAGCGTCTCCAGCGTGTTGACCGAGTGGAACGTGCTCTCCTCCAGCGTGGAGAGCAGGTTGTTGGAGAGGTTGAGCAGGCGGATCTGCCGCAGCCCCAGGAAGGCCTGCGGCTCCACCACGGCCAGCAGGGCCCCGGCCAGGTGCAGCTCGCGCAGGCGCACCAGGTCGCGGAAGGAACCGCGCGGCACGGTGCTGATGGGGTTGTGCGACAGGTTGAGGCAGGTGAGGTGCGCCTGGTGGCGCAGCGCGGCGGCCGGCACGGCGGTGATGTTGGTGTGGGTGACGGACAGCGAGGTCAGGTTGAGGCCCTGCAGGCTGCCGGCGCCCACCTCCTCCAGCAGCGGCCAGTTGTCGATCTCCAGGTGCAGCAGCCCCGGGAGCCGCCGAAAGTTCTGGTCCTCCAGGGCGGCGATGGCCAGGTGCCGCAGGCGCAGCGCGCCCAGGCCGCGCAGGTGGCCCAGCGACTCCGCGGACAGCGCCGTGAGGTTGCACCGCTCCAGGGTCAGCTCCTCGAGCGCCAGCAGCCCCGCGAAGGCGCGGCGCGAGATGAACACCAGGTCGTTGTCGCCCACCTCCAGGCGGCGCAGGCGGCGCAGGTCCTGGAAGGCGTAATCCAGGAGGATGACGAGCTTGTTCTCGCTCAGGTCCAGCATCGTGAGGTTGCCCAGGCGCGTGAAGACCCCGGGCGGGATGAGCTTCAGCAGGTTGCCGCGCAGGCGCAGCACGCGCAGGCGCGGCAGGTTGGCGAAGGCGCCCGGCTCCACGTGCGCGATCACGTTCTCGCTCAGGTCCAGCTCCTCCAGCTGCGGCAGCGCCGCCAGGTCGCCCGGGTTCAGGCAGCGGATGCGGTTGCGGCTGAGCTCCAGCACGCGCGTCTCGGCCGGGATGCCGTCGGGCACGGCGGTCAGGCGGCGCCGGGGACAGGCCACCGCGCGCGTGGGCGCCGTGCACTCGCAGCGGGCCGGGCAGCCGCCCGCCGGGGGCGGGGCCGCGCGCAGGAGCAGGAGCTGCAGGCTCAGGACGCACAGCCAGCAGGTCATGGTGCGGGGCCTGGGCCTAGGGCCGCGCCACCATCCTCGGGGGCACCTGCGGGCGGAGGCAGCGTTAGCACCCGAGCGCGGCCCGCCCCGGCAGTGCGCTCAAGATGCGCTTACCCTCCGTGGGACCCGCCATCCCACTCCTGGATGTCTACCCAAGAGGGCTCAGTGCACACGTCCACACAGAAACCTGCACACTCGTGTTCAGAGCGGCAGCATTATAATCGCCAAAAAGTGGAAACAGCACAAGTGTCCATCAGTGGGTGAATGGATCCACACAACGTGTCCAGCCACACACTGGAATACTACACAGCCGTGAAAAGGAGTGAGGCCCTGACACAGCCACACGGTGGATGGACCTTGAACACACGATGCTCAGTGAGAGAACCAGACACAGAAGGACACACAGTGTGTGATCCCATTGATGTGAAATGTCCAGAACAGGCCCATCCACAGACAGAAAGTGGGTTTGTGGTTGTGAGGGGCTGGGGAGTGAGTGCTGATGGGCACAGCCAGGGTTTCTTTTGGGGGTGAGGGAATACTCTGGAACTAGAGAGTGGTGGTGATTACACAACCTTGTAAATATACCAAAACCACTGAGTTGTGCACTTTAAAAGGGTGATTTTTACGTTTTGTAAATTTTATCTCCATTAAAAAAAAAAAAAAAACGCAGAGCCAGCCGTGTTGGCCTAGCAGGCACACTACACTTTGGTGGCCTGGGTTTGGTTCCCAGGCCCAGAACCACAGCACTCGCTGCGGTGGCGGCTCACATAGAAAAACCAGAAGAACTTACAACTGTACACAACTACGTACTGGGGCTTTGGGGGGGAAGAATTAAAAAGGAGGAAGATTGGCGACAGTTGTTAGCTTAGGGCGAATGTTCCCCTGAAAAAAAAAAATGCAAAAGAAAGTATTTATTGAGCTGGAGAAGAACCATTCAAATATAATGTAAAAATTTGGATACTAAAAATCCCATTTATTGAGTGCCTACTGTATACCAGGCTCTGAATACCCGAAAGAACAAGGCAGACGCAGATCCCACCCTCCTGGGGCTCACGTCCGTCAGGCGGGGATACAGGTGGTCCTCACCCCCAAAGAGGTCTCACCAGCTCCCCCACCATCCCGTCCTCCCTGTTCCCATTCATTTGTCCGCACGGGTCCATCCATCTCGTGAAACTAGAATGTATCTTAAAACCCTGCTCACTGTCGCCTCCACCTGGACCGTACACTCCCCGAGGCCTTAGGCTCCATCGCCTCGACCTCCTCGGAGCCCAGATCTGCCTGAGACACAGCACCTGCTCGCTGAACGTCGGCACGTTCCGGCAACGAGACCAGAGGACGCAGCGAGGATGGAAGGTCCGGGTGAGCAGCGTGGAAGGAGGGGGCGACCTCTGACCTGTTAAGGTGACATCTGAGCTGAGACCAGGTAGCGGGCTGAACTGTCTCCCCCCAAAAGATACGTTTGAGTCCCAACCCCGTGACGTGTGAACGGGGCCTCGTCTGGAACTAGGGTCTCTGCAGATGTGACTGGTGAAGATGAGGTTCCGGAGGAGGGGGGCCCTGAACCCAGTGACTGGCGTCCTGAGAAGAGGGACATTTGGACACGCACATAGACACACACAGAGGGAAGAAGGCCACAGGCAGACAGAGGCAGAGACGGGGGTGATGCGGCCAAAAGCCCAGGACTCTGGAGCCCCCAGAAGCTGGGAGAGGCAGGAAGGACCCTACCCTGGAACCTCGGGAGGGAGCGCGGCCCTGCCCACCTTGATTTCAGACTTCTGGCCTCCAGAACTGAGAGCACATAGATTTCTGTTGCTTTAAGCCCCCCAGTCTGGGACGTTTTGTTATGACGGCCCCCGACAGCTCATACAGACCAAAAGGATCAGCACAAAAGTGCGTGCGAATGTCCGGGGGAAGAGAGTTGCAGGCTGGGGCAACAGCCAGTGCAAAGGCCCTGAGGCAGAAGGGGCGGCTGGTGAGGCTGTGATTGGAGCGGGTGGGGAGACGGACGGGGAGATGTGTTGGGGGGTCACGGAGGCCTCTGCACCTGGGCCTTCCTAGCTGCTCATCTCTCCTGGCAGCCAGCTGGCCCCGCATCCCCACCCCCACTCTGCTTGGCTACAGCCCAGATCCCAGGGGTCCAATAAGGTCAGGGGGGTGGGGAGGGAACAGCCAGCTGGCAGCTGCGTGGTGGCTACCCCGTGTGCCAGGCAGCCATTTTTGGCATCTTAGCAGCTGAAGCCCCCCAGGCGCCCCCTCGGCTCCCCCTGGCCCGGGCCTGCCGCCTGTTCCCTCCCTTTTCCCACAGGCCTGGCCGGGGGGACCCGGCTGAGTTTCCTCATCTGCTAGACACCCGGGAGGCCACCTCCTGCCTCCCCGGCCCTTCGGGGAATTTAAGGTGACAATTCACACGCACACCGAGCCCCGAGCAGCCGCTTGCTCAGTGCTGGAGATGAACCACGTGTACGTGGCGGGCGGGTTTGTATCCTGCAGTGTGACCAAGTTCGCATGAGGTCACACTGGAGCGGGGTGGCCCGGATCCAGTGACTGGTGTCCTTATGGAATCTGGACGCAGACACAGAGGACACGGCCGTGTGACCGTGGAGGCAGAGAGTGGAGTGATGCGTCTACAAGCCAAGGGACACCCAGGATCGCCAGTAACCACCGGAAGCTGACAGAAGCAAGGAAGGACCCGCCCTGGAGCCTCGGGAGGGAGCGCGGCCCTGCCACACCTCGATTTCAGACTTCTGGCCTCCAGATCCGAGAGGATAAACTTCTGCTGTTCTAAGCGCCCCCGTTTGTGGTTTGTTACGGCAGCTACAGGACACTCATACAGGACCTAAATGAGCATCCACGTATCTTTGAGAAAAACTCAGATATTCGATAAACAAGTAGTTTGCTGCGGTGTCGTCTGAAACAGCAAAAAGCTGGAACCAACCCAAGTGTCCATCACTAGGGGATCAGTTGAATAAACTGTGGTCCGTGTCTGCTGTGGAACACAGGGAGACTTGTATGTACCGATGAGGAAAGACAGCAGAGATGCAGTTATACTGGGCGGGGCGGGGGGGGGGGGACCCAGAACTAACCTAAGTGTCCATCCATAGGGGATTGGTTAAATTGTTCTCCATGCCTGCGGTGGGATCCAGGAGATTCATACGTACCAATAGAGAAAAACAGCTGAGATCTAGTTATACAGAGAAAAAATGGAACTAACCTAAGTGTCCACCAACAGGGGATCAGTGAAATAAGCTGTAACCCACTGTAATTGTGGAACTCTGGAAGATTCGAAGGTACCCACGAGGAGAGATGGCTGAGATGCAGTTAGATGGGGGGAGAAATCAAGGTTGCCAAATGCTTACAGGCAGCAGAATCCTATTTGTGGCAAAATAAAATGAAACACCAAACCGAATTCTAGATTCGGGGTGGCACGTAAACACACGTGCAGGTGCCCCCGGATGCCTGGGAATTCACGCACCACACGGAACAGTGCTGTGAGCGGCGAGAATGGAGTTCCCGTGGTTGAGGATGTGGAAACCGAGGGGCCCCTGGTCTCCGGGGGGTTGTGGGTCTTAGCTCCCTGTCCCCCCAGCTGGGGAGCAGGGTCGGGGAGGGAGCGAGGGCCAGTCAGCTGCGCCCGTCCTCTGTACTCGTCCTTAATCCCAGCCCAGGCGTCGCAGGGGCTGTAATCCCTCCCCAAGGCAAACTCCCGTCCGAGGCTGTTTTTCTAGGTCATTCTCTCCCGCGTGGTTGCCGCAGGCGGCACGTGGCGAGGCTGTGTCCCAGGAGGGACAAGAGAGCCTGGACGATGGTTCCCTGTTCAGCCGCCCACCTCGCGCCTCTGGCAACTTCCCACCTTAAACCCGTCCCGGCTCTGAGGTCACTCCTAGGGCCCTGTCCCGGCGTGTGCCACCTCCCATGGTCCCCTGGCCCAGGAACGGGGGACAGGACCTCAGCAGCCTGCTTTGGAGAAGCCGGGGTCTCCCAGGCTCTGCCCCAAGGAGGAAATGGCTGGCGCTGTTCAGCCCCAAACACAGACTCCTTATGGGGGCCAAGCCGCCTGGTTATACTTTCTGCAGAAAAGAGTTTCACGCCCTTAGAATAAAATTCAAAGTCCTCCCCTCTCCCCTTGTCCCCTCCCTGCCCTCCTTCCTCACTCTGCTCCAGCCACATGGGCTCCTCGCACATGGTCCTGCCCCAGGGCCTTTGCACACGCTGTGCCCATACCTGGAGCACCTTCCCCACATGGCTCTCTCCCTGACTTTATTTGGGTCTCACCCCCAATGTCACTTCCCTGGTGACTCTGCACTCAAGTCCCCACTCTAGTCTCTCTGAAATGCCATTTAATCCCTTGTTTAAGGCTGGTATCTCCTCCTGGACCATGAACATCATTGTCGCCATCAAAATGGCCAACATCTCACAGCCTTGCTCTGGGGCAGCCCCGAGCACCTGGATCGTCCCATTTAATCCCCACAAAACCTCACGGGGGGTCCCAGCCGTCACCCCCACTTTACAGATGGGACACGGAGGCTCAAAGCAACGTAAGTCACCTGCTTGGGCTCACACGGCACACAGGGGTGGCAGGAGCAAGTCTCAGGGTGAAGTCGGTGGTGCTCCCACACCTCTGACACTCGCTGATCCCCTTTTTTTTTAAAAAACGGAGCTGGGACAAGGTCTGGGCAGCTCATCTAGCCTGAATTAACAATGCAGTTCTGTTTTTGCTGGACTGATTTAATCACCACCTCCAGAGGTCTCCCCTCATGTACTGATTCAGTCCGTCCGTCAGTCAGTCAACAAACATCTACAGGGTGCCGAGCATTTTCCAAGGGCGGAGGATACAGAGCGCACAGGACAAAGAGATCGCTTTCCAGGGGCTTCGGGTGGATGTAAGTGGAGAAAGATAAATCCAAAGAGACGGGAGAGTCGAAGGGATGGACGGCAATGATCTGATTTACTGAGGAGGCGACGTTTGCACAAAGGAGGTGAGACGGAGTGGGGCAGATGGCGAGGGAAGGGCAGTCCGGGCGGAGGGCACAGGAGGGACGAAGGCCGAGAGGTGGGACCGCGCGGCTCAGGCCAGGAGCCC